AACACACACCAAATCAAATACTGAGGTAAACAGAGCAGAACATATTCTACATCAGATTGAAGTGACATCCAAATAAGATCAAAATTATTGTATTTATTTTGTGATGTGTTCCAGGGGGAGGAATATTTTCTCAAGGAAAAACAAAAAGCAACATACTGGTTATTTGTTGTTAGGCAATCTGTTACCTGAATGACGCGCACAAGCGTCTCTGGGTATTTCTTAAATACAGACTCAAAGGCTGATGCAGGTAAACGTAATATGGTGGAGCGAGTTGCAGCCCGTGCCAATACAGTCTTATATGGAGCTGGATAACCCTGGCAAAGGCAAAAAGAACTGTTACAAAACAAGCAAAGACAGAGTGCACTAAAACCTCACCTCTGACCTCAGTGTTGATGGCCACCTCATTAGAATTGTCCATGGAGTAATTAACAGGACGAAGGCATTTTTACCTCTCAATTTTATAACTGTATATGAACTTGTACTTAGTGCTTGCAGCATTTTGAACCTGCATCAAGATTAAATGTACATAAAAGTATGCTACTGCCTTAACATGCTGGTAAAAGTGACAAGACATCACAACACTTCATGTTGTGATTAGTGTTAAAAATCTGTAATAGTTTTTCTATGCTTAGATTTCTTTATATTTCTGAATTTTCACAGTTTGAATTAATGGGTTAGTGTTAAATGTAATCTGATCTGAGCAATAGCAATACGAGTGTCTGAAAAAGATACAAATTATTCAAGGTGAGGACTAATTAAATACATGTTCCTGACCATCAGGCGAACCCTAAATGCAGCTTTAAGTAAAGAAGTTTCATATGAATGGATGAGCAAAGGACGATATGACAGGAAATTGAAACAAAACAAAACATGCCCTGAGCAAAATATGAGGGTATGAGGGTAATAGATAAACAAATTGAGTTTAACAGGAAGTACAAAAAGAATTGCCTCTAAATGAGATGCTTGAATGGAAATATGAACAGTGGAGAGGAGCCTGGCTGGAGACACAGACAGAACAGAGTGCAAAAGAGGACAGAGGCAGTGGAAGGTAGTCAGATGTGAAGATTGAGAAATAAGGAGCTCACAGTGATGATGTCCAGAATACTGAGCAGGCTGTGGACGCTGTCTCCTGGGTGCACATCCTTCACCAGTGGTTCTGTGCCATCCTAAAAAAATAAAAATAAAAAAGACAGGAAAACAAGAGCCTTGTAGAAGCAATTTTAAAACTTTTCTATTCGATATTTTTGTGCATCAACAAACGGCTGCGTTTAATATCATTGGTGAGTTACCCAAGGAATGTAAAAGTGCACAAAAACGGCTATTTGACAGAAATAAATAAATTTAGCTTGAGAAGTCAACTGAAAATCGTCATGTTATCCACATACGTTCTCCTGGATACACAGCTCGAGTCGTCCATCCTGGACCACATAGATGCTATCATCATCATCTCCTGGTCTGAACAGACCTTCGCCCTCCTGCAGCTCAATAAACACCATGTGGCGACACAGCTCCAGGAACAAGGGCTTCTCAAAATGACCCAAGACCCTACAGAAAGTTGCAGAACAAAGATTAGAAGAACAAAACAATGGAAGAGGCGAAATCTGTACAAAAGTTGTTTATTTGTCTACCTGACATTCTTCAGCATGTAGAGGACCTCAGAAGGCAGGTTTGAGCTCTGCACATCAAACTCTGTTAGATCAGCCTCCAGCAGCGAGGGAGGGGGTTCCTTGGGCTGCAGGGTGGGAGGGTCTTTACGGATCCTAAGGATTCTGTTGAGAAGAACAGAAAAATTATTAAACAAATTCCAACAAATCAATATGCTCAACTCACTTACATGCGTAAAAAAAAACAAACAAACAAAAAAAAACAAGTATTAGTAATGCATACTTGCGAGCTATGCTCAGAACTTTGGTCCTTTTGCGGATGCGCTGTGGTTGTTTTGATACTGAGGTGGAAGTTGGGGGAGGAATCGAGGACAGCGTTTGGACCTTAAAAATAAGAACGCAGACAAGATTTAAAAAATGGCTGGGTTTTTTTGTTATGGCAGACAAAGACATTTTGTATAAAGATGAATGTACCTGACTGTACATGTTTGTGTGTGAGTGTGAGACAGAAATGGAAATAGAGAAAACCTTTCGCATTATCTTCCTTCCATAGAAGAGCACTTTATCTCTTTTTCTGAAGCGATAGTGAGGTACACCAGGCTGTTGTTCACCTTGTTATGCAATCAAAAACAAAATGCAGATAAAGTCATGTTAAAACCACATTCTGTGGAAAATTGAAGAGGCTACATATACATTTCCCTAAAGAGCCTTAACATTTGAGGTACACAAGAAACAAATGAAATAAATATTTTAGCATTACAATAAATACAAAGTTCAGGAAGAGGTTGGATAACTTACGAGCAAGCTTGAATCTCCTGTAAAGGAACAGGACCACAATGCCAATCAGCGAGACTGCAACTGCAGCTCCAATCAGTACACCGGTGAGCTGGAAGACAGACAAGAGCATTGCAACGATAGTATGGTAACATGAGAAGGCATTGCAGTCTAGTTGTACACAGTGAAGGACATTTGAACTGCAGGTTTAGTAACATTATCCTTCAATGTCCAAAGTTGTATCCTTGTTTTATACTACATACTTATTCGACACAGGTTTTGAAAATGTAGTGTGTTCAAAATGGAAAAGTGATCAAATAAATTCACAGTATACTAAAACAAGCTAGATGTAAGTGTGTTGTTGATGTGCAATATTGCTCTACATTGAAATATGCAAAGGAAATGGAGCTGCTCACTGCTGGGAAAAAAACAACACATTGTGAACAGTCAAACAAAGAACCGAGACATGAACAAATAAATAGAACAGAACAAGTAAATATTAGATCTTTGGTAAAACACTTTGCACTTTTGTAACTATTAATTGGCATTAACATAGGGATTTTAAGTACATGGTACAGAATGATAGTGATTTCTTGTGTACTAACTGGTAATAACTGTATACTATAATAATTAATAGCAGATACTGAAAACACAATGTTTTACGGCCATGTGACATAGCACAAGTTTTTTGACTTTGGGATAACTTTATATTTGAGGTTCAAAGTCCTCACTTCTTGTATATGAACAGATACAACTCTTTTATCTCATATTTGACAAAGAAAATTTTGAATAGGAAAAGTTTGAACATAATTATAGTAAACTAAAATGAAATTTGGTCTTGACGGTCATCAGTCATCATTACCAGTTGAGCCATGCCTACTGAACTGAGTGCCCTGTCAATCATACTAATCAGATGAGTGGAGGGGGCTAAATGTTGGATTATATCATAACTTTCATTGAAAGTGAAAACGGCCCAAATCGCACCAAACTAATCAAAGTCAAACTCAGCCAAACTCAACGGAAAGTCTCCCAATCTGCCAATTCAGCTTGTTAAAAGTATAGGCTGTCCATGACTGTTATTTCATACCATGGTGGTCTGCATCCTCTCCTCCACAAACTGTTGCACCCGTGCTGTGATGTGATTTTTGCTGTTCAGCAGCACCTAAAAACACATGTTAGGTTAGCACAGAGTCTGACTGACTCAACTGGCTATTCAAACAAAGTCACAGCTGCTAGTTCTGTTGTTTCACATATGTTTTAAAAGAAACTATGGTGCTTACGGAACTGTCTCCATTATCCTCTGCGAGGCACTCCATCCTGGAAGACAACAATGTTTATAAACGCTACGCCTGTAACCCACATATGAGGCGACGTTTGGATAGAATCGCACAGACAGTAGCGGTATATGTGAGAAGGTTACATTTTATCGTGGGGGCCAAGTCACAAGTTGTTGGAAAAAGGGGGAACTGTGAAAAGGAGAACATGGATTTGTAACTTAGCAGAATTCCGACATCCATCCTCATCTAATAGCTTCGTGTCTTCATTTAAATTTAACATAATGACATAACAAGTCAAAGACAAGCTAGCATAATTAACAAACAACACATTAACTGACGGTTCATGTTGATTTCAAGTGGATTATTTAATATTTTCCCAACGTTAGCTATTCCTTAATATTAGCTTAAATAACATTAGCTAGCAGCTGGCTGACTGAGGTTAGCCGTCTTACCAGTTATTATGAATAACCAAAGTCAACTGTGCTGTACTCACTGCACAGAAAACACCAGGCTTACTTTTTAGGCATTTCCTTCGCGCTGCTTCAAGCCAGTAACATTTCCAAACATACGATCAAGCGAAGTTAGCAGGTAGCTAACAAAGTTTTCAGTAGCCTATGTGATCACTTGCTTAGCCCCACCTATGATTCCAAGTCCACCAATAGCGTCTTGGATGTCTGCCGTTGCCTTGGTACCACTCACAGCACACGACCAATCAGGAACGGATCAGGCAGATTATATTCTTCCTGTTTACAACATTCAAAGAAAGGGATCTCCTTACAAGGATCTTCTGCACCTTAACGTTTTAATAAAGCAAATAAGGCTTTTAACGGTGTTTGGTCAGTAGCACAGCGAGACCATATCATTTACTGTAAGCACTGTTATAATAAAACTTGAAAGCTGCAGTGGTGGAAGGTTACTAAGTACATTTACTCAAGTACTAACTACAATGCTGATGCAATGCTTAAAAATGCATAAAAATAAAATTAAAGAGATTAAAATCAATTAAACTACTCAACAGTAGGCTATGTAAAGTAGGTAGTAACAATTAGCACCACCTTGACCAGTTACAATGGTGCTTACATGTTAATGCCCTAGTGATGATAATCCAATGACATAATACAGCCTATACATAACAATAAAACATTAACGGAAGCGATTTTGCTTGTTTAATGAACAATTTAACTTTTGGTATTTTTGTTGCATTTTGCTATTCATATTTCTGTTAAAATTTGAATGTGGAACTTCGAGTAATGTGACTTTTACTATAGTGAAGGATCTGAATACTTTTTTCAACCACTGGAGAGCTGTCAGAAATGTTTAAAAGAAATTACACAAATACTGTAGCCTCTTATAAAATGTTTATTTTACAACATAAATGTTTAAAATATATATTTTAGATATGTTATGATTCCTGATAATATGTTCTTACTTTTCTGACTCTTTTATTAAATTTGTGTGAAATTATTTCTGTTTCTCGGGCGGACAAACATGGGAACACATTCCTACAAGATCAACAAAAGGTTAAAGGAAAGACATACACATACAGGTGCAGACATATGCACACATGTGCATTCAATAGAGAATCTATGCAGATTTGCGCCTTTCCTGAAACAAATGATCTTTTCACTTCCTTATTTCTTTATTCGCACATCCAAAACTAGCCTTATAATCAGACTGAAATGCCAAATTTCATTTCACTGCAATATTTTCTATTTTTGCATTACTTTATTACTTGATATCATTGCTTCTTTATTTTTACATACTCTCATTCATGTTCTCTTTGAATTGCTTAAAAAGTTGGAAATGTGGACATTGATTCTGTCCTTGTATCCTATGTCCATAAACATTTCTTTTCAACTTTCTGAATGTTTAAGAACATGTAAGTTTAGTTTCTTTTTCACCTGATTCACTCAAAAATGTAATTACTATTCTGCAACCAATATTGGGTAAATGTTTAGACACAATACATGCATGTACAATGAGACATAACATAAATATTCTGTGGGATTTACAGTGCTTTCTCACTCTGACAGGGGCTGAATAAGAAATCCACATCAGTACAAGCAGAGCATGCCATAGTACATACTGTATATACAAATACAAATTTTAAGCAACTTTGAAGTAACAGCAATACTTTTTATAGAAAGATAATGCAAACAGTGTTCATTATCCAAAATCATATAATTTTGACACAAATAAAACATAAATCATGTAGAGCTTTCAGACATTTTTGTCAGCATTTTCATTCTCCTCTTCTTTGTTCTAACTGATGCTGCTTAACCTCTGCCTCTTGAGCTACTTGTTCAGGTACTTGGCCACAGACTGGTAGGCAATGAGGATCTCTGAGTCATTTGGGCAGGTGTAGCGAAACTCATCCTTTTTGTAGGCATTATCTAGGTAACGTGTCAGACCTTTCAGCTCTGCAGGGATAGCAAAGTCACGGTACTGCTTACACACCACCTGGGGGAGGAAGGGTTTAAAGATTGTATTATTAGCAAAAACACACCGGTGGAATTTAGATAAAAAGAAAAAGGAAATGTCAGTGCTCTTTTAACAATAGCAAAAACATTGAATCCGGGATCAGCTCATTAACCTCTTTTCACTCCTCTTTACCAGTGAGATGATAAAGAAGAGATTTCTGTCCTATGGAAATAATGTTTTTATACAGTGAGTGCTGTTGAACTCTGCTCACCTTGACAATGTTGAGTTTGGGAAGCAAGTTACAGTCTGCCAAGGTGAGGGTGTCACCATCCAGGTAGAGGCGTGAGGACTCAGTGGCATTCGGGTTCTTGTCCAGCTCATGAGGGAGAGGCGTCTCTAGGTACATGTTCAGCTTCACCAGAGTTGATAGAAATTTATTCTCTAGCACTGAAAGACAGTGAGGTGTTATACTCCCTCCAGGTCACAGTCTCCCTCATGTGGCTACATATGAAACATCAAGTAATGTAAATGCATTTTGAACCAATGCCCTTACTGTCATTTAGAGTAGGATTGGGATTCTTTATATATCCTGAGAATTTTCGGAAGATGTCTTCTCCTGCACCGTTGGACTCTTTGTATCGACAGCACAATTTAGGATACCTGCCAGTGGTAGAGTAAAAATGTTATTGTGCTGGTGAGCGTGTGTCGGTGCAGTATGAATGAGATATTCAGTATGTTTCAATAACTGAAAAATACTCGTCAGAAAATATGTTAAACTATCAGCTTGCGTCTCTATGTTTGTGTTGTTTGAACGGAAACGGGATGCAGTCCACTCACTGTGGTGGGGCTAAGGTCTCCTCCAGGAACTCCTCAATCTTGTTAGTGTCTGTTTTGACCTCATTGTTGTAGATGAGGAAGGGAGGTTGAGAGCCTGGAGCCAAAGCCTTGAGCACATCAGGTGCCCTGCAATAGAAGCCAAACACAAACATCTCTTTTACATAATAACTGACAGTTTCTGTGAGGGAATTTTCTCTTGTCCACCTAATGAATGACTGACTCAGGGTGAAAGGTCAGTGTCAGGCCCTGGGTCTCTTAGCCACAGCTACTGCTTTAAATCTTACAGGCCTTGAGACGCTCAAGTGGCTCCTGCAGACACAGCTGTGGTTTTCTACTGATACTACTGGTGCCAGGGTTGATAACAGCAGACCTCGGATGGTCAGTAACAAGTGGCTGGGTGTTCTAAGAATCAGCACTTGGGCGTATATAGTCATGTTTCCTTGTTTGTGGTTAATTAACCAATAGTGTATTTACACATCCCTCTTCTTCCTCTTATTTTAGATGTTTGACCAATTATGGAGTGTAAGCTATCTATAGTAATCTCTCTATGTGTATAAAGACTCTACTCAGGGGTTCCTGCTTCAGATTTGAGGTGACATCATGCACAGAAACCTGTATTGATGAATCCTCCTTTCTCCTTGGGCTCAAGCTTCAATAAACATCCTCTGCGTAAGACATCCTGGACTCAAGCTCTTTCTTCCCCAACGATGATAAGAATAGAATAAGAACAGTTTCCTTTTAATTGTCTCTAGCTGCATTTCCTAATTCCTAAGTTTAGTTTTCAGGCGGAAGATAGTCTTTTGAGTTTCTTGTTATTGTCATTTGCAGTTTTTTCTTAGAAATGAACAACACCATATCACTACCGCTTTGGATTCAAATCAGTTACACTGCAAATTAGTAAAGGCAACTTCCAACTGCCACCTGTCTGTCTATATGACACTCCACCTGAACATTTAAGGACACTGTTGAAAACTGGACAGTTTTACTGTCTGAGAAAATTTTCATTGTTTTATTCTTATTTTTGTGATGACTATTTCTATGCCTGCTTCTTACTTTTCTGTTCATTCTAATACCTATTGAGTGGAAAAAAACAGGCAGAGTGCTGCACAGTATTGTGGAGAATGTAAAGAAGAAAAATGTGAAACCAGGTTTCTTATGAGAGTTGAAGCTGTGCAATGGCAGTCAGAAAAAAATATCTTGGGCACTCTGATTATAGATGTGAAACTAAAAATCCTTTATTAATATATTAATTATTAATTGAATTAATACCATATCTGTATCTGTATCTATATATCTGACCTACTGAGTGGGTTTGATCTTGCTGGAAAAGTTTGCTTCTTATCTGTGTTTGAACTCTAATGGCTGTAGCACTGAAGTCCAGTTAATGAAACATTTAAACAGTTTTTTCCTTTCAACCTCAACACTTTCTTTACAGTCACCTTGAAGAACAAGGGGTGTGGGAACAATAAGATGAACCACATTAAAACATAACACAGTACAATCGTCCTGCCATAAATACAAAATGAAATGTGTGTTGAGATTTCATCAGAAAGCAGCTAAGGTAAATTATATAAAATAAGGTAGTATGTTTTATCGGATCGCACTACACTGTAGGTTTATGTGTTAATGTCTCTAACCCCTGTCAGTCTCAAAGACAAGACTGAATACTTTATTAAGAAAGAAAAAAAAAAGGTGCTCTCACCTCTTCATGTCCACAGTGGTGAGAGTAAAGTTTGCCCCTTTTAACCAAAGAATCATGAAGAGTCTCTGACAGAAAGGGCAGTTCCCCACACTCTCAGCATCCACACTGGCCTGCCAGACACACACACATTATACGTTATAAACACTTACATTTTTCATTGTTCGCAAATAGTGAGGTGAAAACAAAGCAAATATGTTTCTGAAATGGCACAGTGGGTATGTACGTTGGTTTTGGCATTAGCGTTGTAATGTATCTGACTAAACTGTGAATACCTGCACAGGCATTCTTGTCGATCCTGCTCTGCTCTGACAGTCTGAATGCAACCGCCTAGGAATTTTAAACAGAGGGCTGAGGCTGCTTCCCACCCAGATTAAGCAAACTAGTATTTAAATGGGGCTTACTATCTCAGATATATCATAGTGTATATTTTCCACCACAGCCTCATATTACTGAGTCACAGGCTTTTGTGGCAGCTAAGGTATTTTTTAAAAGGGCAGGACACAGGTTTCCAAACTGGACAGGCCTCTTTTCAGGTTCTACTGTTAACTAATACAACAGTCCAGCACAAAGGAGACACTTCAGCTGTATTATTTCAACTATAAATAATTCATATTATAACTGTAAAAGCCATTACAGTATGATTATATTTGATTTGAGTCTTCACAAGCCTGTTTCATCCACATACAGATTTAAAAATTTTTCTTTACAAAGTTTAAAAAACAAACAAACACATAACACATCACAATTATTGTATTACTTACCTTAACGAAGAGTTCAATCTTCGGGGCCTCGGCCATCTTTCTTTCTCTCTGTCTGTCTTTTTCTCTCTTTTAATGTCCACCTATCTCCTCTGGATTTGTTTCTGTCACGGTTGATGCAAAGACAAGACAGAGATTTTAAAAAACAAACTGTGATTGTGAAGTTTATACCTCTAAGTAATGATAACTCTCATTCTTTCACTCATACACACACTGTCACACACTTGAAACTGGTGTTAAGATGTATTACTGAAGCTTATACTCACACACTGCTGGTCACAGTCAGCGCCTGCTCTGCCTGTAATTTCTTTTTTTAATTCCACTGTTTCACCTCTCCCTCTCCTCCCTCTCTTCTCTTCGCTGTGTCTGCTTTTTGTTCGTCTCTCACCACACCTGTCAAGCTTTGAGAGGCAGCCTACTCCCCCTCCGGACTTTCCAGTCTAACCAGCAAATCTGGATCTCTCCTCTCAACCTTTCAGCCTTGCACCATATTCTCTGAAAGACATATCTCACTCTCAATCTGTTACTATCCCAGTTTGTCCACTTTGGTCTAAATTTGCCTCTTTCTGCCCCCGTTTGCTCTCGGTCTCTTCCTCTACATAAAATTGAAGAGTTTAGTCAGTAGGTGGATTATTATAGGCTGAGGGTTAACAGAATTATCTGTTGTTTGTCTATGAGGCAAGATCTAGAATATGTTAGTTATATAAAATACTTAATGTTCAGAAAATACAACATAAAGATCCAGTAAATTAAATAAAAAATAAGAAACATTGCATGTTTACAACAAAATTCATTTTGTTTAGTTCAGTTTAAAGATGGTGTACCTATAACATAAGTAGGTATAGGTACATTGGTACATATAAATAAATGGCCATTTACAATGATTGTAGAGCACAACTTAATTTATTTCCTTAAAGTACTAGAGTTAACCGCTTTTTACATTATTTGGCCAGAAGTATGTTGATGACCAAACATTACCGTCCTATTTTATTGCTGACCATCTCACACCAAAACCATAATATGTTGCTGTAACAGCTCCTACACTTCTGATTAGGCTCTCCACAGGATTTGTGCAACCTGGCTGCAGGGATTTACACTCATTGAGCAGCAAGTTGATGTTTCATCCCAAAGGCGTTTGATGTTGCAGGCTAGTCCAGTTCATCCTCACCACAAACTCAGACAATGGCAGTATTTTTTATGGACCTTAGTTTGTGCACAGGGCACTGTCATACTTCAAACAGGAACTGGCTTCTCCTAAACTGCTGCCACAAAGTTGCGAGCCTTTCTTAAGTATCACTGTATGCTGTAGTGTTTAGATGTTTCTTAATTTGAACAAAGGGGAATGAGCCAAACATGATAGCCCTAAAATAAAAATAGCCTTGTATGTGGCAACATAGTGTGTTTGTCTTATCATGTCAGAAAAATATCAAGGATTGGGGAAATGGTCATGCTGAGGACACGAGATTTGTCTGGTATCCAGTACCGGCCTTCATGTCTCTCTCTTCCTCCATTCCTCCCCCCCCCCCCCCCCCCCCCCCTCTCTCTGCAGTGTCAACAGTGTTTCTGTGTTTGTGATGTATCCGAATCGTTGCCCGTCTTCTCCTCAGTTTGATGGGTTTGTTTTGCCTTCATCCCTAAGTTTACTTTCAGTCGCCTATCAGCATTCATGACCGGCAGAAAATGCTCTCATGTAGTAGGTATTTGCTGAGGACCCCCCCCCCCCCCCACCCACACACAGACACTCCAGCACACACACAGCCACAGCACACACACATACGACACACACACACACACACACCCACGCAGTGTACAGCACACAAACACACACACACGCAAAGCTGAAATAAAGAGATACAAGGCTGTAAGTGTAAGGGTGTGACAGTAACTCATTAATGGCGTTGTGCTGTGAACAAGTCAGATTCATAGATCGTACAAGGTTAATTAAAGCCATTTACTCTCTAGTAAATAGTATATAATGGATGGATAATTTTGACATGTCAAAATCTCCTGAGCAAGCATGATGGAATGAAAGGCATGTGCTAATTATCGTCACCTTCCTCCACTATTGTTTGAGTTGACTGTTTAACAATGCATGAAACAAACTGGTGAGTATCTGTGCAGTAAAATGATTTACAAAATCAAAAATTCAAGGGTTTTGAAAAAAAATTCAAATTACATTTGCACCACAGGAGTGACATGTATCTGTGGTGGTTTATCTTGGACCTAAGCCCTCTTCTGATTTTAAAGCTGCACTTCTCACAACCGTAACTGAATTTGGTCCCCAGTCTGACTATTTGAGGTGCCACAGAAACCCTCCTAATCAGTGAATTAAAATCATCTATAGACATGGACTCATGTAGTTCACGGAGATTCTGAGAGTTTCACTCAGTGCAACTTTCCATTTGGGGGGGTAAGTATAATACTTACATTATACATCATAATGACATTATAATACTTACAAGATATGATTACAAGGACATATGGAACAGTACAGTTGATATAAAATACAATAGACATCAAAATACAAAGATAATATTGTAGCTTAAGCAATTTATATACTAAAACCGATGCATTTTTCTCCCACACAACCAGAATAAGATAGTAACATAAGATTGAACTTTATCCATCCTAAAGAAAAAGAATTGTGGCCAAGATGCTTTATATACTTTACATAGTGTAGAAAGAGTGAAACAGAATAAATGATAAATAACAAATAAATAATTTGCCCAATGATAATTAAATGAACCAGCAACAATGGCTTGCTTTTTATAAGATAAGGAAAGTAATGCAGGACCATGCATTGGATACTATTGTAATTTATTGGTTAGGATTTCTAAAAAAGAATAAAAAAAAAATAAAGAAAAAGGAAATTGCAGTGAGTCATATTATCTACTAAAAGCAAAAGACAAACTATGAACCTGCATTAACAAGGGGCTTCTGGGAGCCCAGGGCACTCATTTTCTCCAGTTGATAATCCAGCCTTGCCAAGTCCAATGTGAATGCATTGTCAGCCTTACTCTGTAGCACACTCCCCTCTTGTGGCCTTTACAGCATATAGCATAACTGTGAACTTGACATGAATGTAATCTGCAGTTTAGGATGTGGTTGACAAACAGTTTTTATTGCATGTGCTGAAGAAGCTGGTGCACAGATGATTTGGTCCTGTTTCTGTGGTGTAGAAAAGTGCCTCTGATGATTTTTTGTATTGTCTGATCAGGTTTTCATAAGACGTGAAAGTCAGCTGGTAAAGAAAGACACTTGGAAGCATCTGTGACTCTATGAGTAAGCCATTTCAGCACAGGCACATTTGCTCACACACACCCCCAAAAAAAAAAATCCCAGAAACCAGGTGACAACCAGTAGAGGAATAAACTCATACAAATTAAAACCGGTGTAGACAAAATAATGTTTGAGTTGTGTGAGACCGATAATACAATAAAAGAATCAATATTTGTGCTGATAAAGTAAAAGAGTAAAAAAGTAAAAGTAAAAAAGTTAACCTCAACATGTGTTTCAGTAAAGCTAAAACCTAGTGAGGAGTCATTCATGACCTGTAACATCAGCCTTTTTCTTGAGAAATACTCGTTTGCCGTTTCCTGCTGCTGAGACTTCTGCTTGTTCATTTCATTTCATTTCTTAGTGCTAACAAACCCGACACCAATGGTGCCAACCTATTGATGGCCCAATGTGATAAGCAGATGCAAGTATGTAATAATATTCTAAATAAAATCCAACTTTTTTTTTGGCTTTTTTTCCCCTCTACAGACAACAAAACACGGCTTTTTGCTGCTCAGGCTGGTTCGGAATAATATTTTATTCAGAGACTAAATGTGTAATGTAAAAAATCTGCTAAAAGCAAAAGTCTATATCAATAATATTAAAAGAATATTTTTACTACTATCTACTATTTTTTGCACCAAAGATTCACTGATGATGACTCACTGGTGTGTGTAACTTCCATCCTCACGCAAGATCATGCTCAACGTTTCCTGTTTTCCCACCAGTGCACAAATGTAGTGAACTAATTATACCATGATGCTCTTTTGTTGAGTGCTGCCACAGTGATAATGGAAAGGAAAAAACAGTTACTAGAAGGCAGGAACTAAAGAGGGAGGGAGCAGGTAACACAATGCTGAGCTCAAATCATATTTTTCAGAGAACCGCGCCTCAGCTTCCTTAAAAGCGGCCGTGTTTTTGTTTTTTAGATGCCTCAGGCTTCACATCTTGTACTAACCAGCAGCGACCAAAAATGATATCAGTGTTGACTGAGGAAGGAGCACAGACCGCTGATCTCATGAACAGGTTAGTGGAGGAAGCTTGGGGTTTTCTGTCTCTTGTATCGATCTGGTCATCATGGTCAGACATATGAAATGTATTTTCTTTTTGTTCTCTTTATGGCAAGAAGTATAAAATCTAAATGTCAGAGCTCACTCTTTGCACTTTGCACTGTCAGTGAATAAATACATTGGGGGGTTGAAGGTACATTGGCGTAAGACTTGCATCAAGTACCCCACAACAGTGCCACTGCCAATCTAGACTGTTCACCACATCCTGTGCAAAGATTGTCTTTTAGTCTCAATTGTACATGATCACTTACAAAAAGAATGTCTCTAATAATATCAAATCAAATCTGGGGGCCCTCATATTTTAATTATTCTGGTTACCATATTCTACAAAGACATGCGTACATATGGCTGTCTCTGTACATCAGAAACTACTTTTTCTCATTATATAGTTAACAACCAAATGATGTTGTTTTGAGTAAAGGGGAATGAAATAAAATGTAGCTATGATTTTCTCTTGTGTTGTTCTGTATAGTTTAGCAGCATGGTTCTGTGTATTTTATGCAGCAGATGCTCTTTATGTTTATTGTGTGTTCAGATAGTGTAAGGCATGACAAATGAGCTTGTATTAACTGCCTCAGAGCACACAATTTGCACAGGACTTATTGCTGCATATATGGGTAATAATAGTAATGGCAACTTGTAATCTGATGATACGTTTTGCTTTGTTTCTTGCCCTATTAGAATGCAAAGACCAGTGCAAACCGGAATGAGTGCACTTAAGCAATATTGGCAGTCAGCCTGAATGAAGTATTCAGCAACATCATTTATAAGGTTAAATGAAAATGAAACATAATTTAGATCCTGCTAGTTCTATTATTTTAGACAGAAAAGTCCATTCAGTTTTCTGTCATAAGAAATAAAAAGTTTGAATTATCAGGTCCCATCCAAATTTCATAAAGGGCACGATATTAAAAGTTGCTCCTTAATAAAATAAGAGACATATTGAGGGTTAATTTTATCTGTGACATCCATGACATCTCCATCTTTATTTATTTCACATTTTGTATTAGTTTCCACAGGTTTACACAAACGTTGAAATAGTAAATATATATGTGTCGTTATGAAATTATTAATGAAAGTTACTAAAGTTAGTTTTGATATGTGTGCTCACTTTTTCACTTTCATACACTACCTTACAAAAAAGAAAAATATCTACCTGTCAAAAGCTTCTTTTGCTCACATCCTTCCTGGGTTTTTTTCAGTTCCTTATTTGTACTCAGTTCAGTTTTCCTTTGTCTTACGCAAAGTGAAACCCTGTAGTATGAAGTCTGCGATCAGGTTCACCATGCGGCTCTCTGTTCATCTTAAAGATTTCACATTTCATGATGTACTTTACCCATAGAAAAAACATGTGTATCAGTTAGCCAATCAACTTTAAAAAGATAGAGAATTATCACTGCCACAAATAACATTTTTTTTGTAATTGGATGACATTCAATGAACTATTTCTCTTTCTCGCTCGACACTTTTGGATTTATTACAAAAAACAGTCCCTCAGTTACCCTATAAATTTAATGAAATTCTTGTGTGCCATAACCTGATAGTGAAGTTTTGTTTTTCGAAAGTGAATCCTGGGTGATCCTTGATTTTAATGATGGATGTCAATCGATGGGGCAGTTAACAGCAGTTAAGGCTTCTTAGCGCAGTTATTTCTCTAAATACTCTCTTTCTTTTTTCTGTATAGGGAAAAAACAAGCTTACATAAGTTTCTCTTGAGTTGTGGTGGAGCAGAAACGTGTCATGGTCTCTGATTTGAGTGGGCGGTATCTTTACACTGGCAGTCACAGGCTTTGTTGGAGTGTCTGATGGTGAGTCATCATTGCAATGCTATAATAACTAATACATACGAAGAAAGAAAGAAAGTTCTAGTTTGTAAGAGAATGTATATCATCAGCTCTTATCTACAACATCAATGAGCTCTGTAGTTTGAAGAGTGCTTCTTTCTGCAGTTTCCTTGTTCATTTTAAGCTGGTTGGTAAATTACAGACATGTCTGATGTTTATGCAAACACTAGAATAAAACATGCATGGCTTGTACTAAAAGGTGTTTCATCAGTCTGTATAACTCTGAGGATATGAATTAGTATTTATATTTGTGATTTTACTTCACATTTAAAAGCAAAAACTACCACACCCCAAGAATCCCCTTTTGAATCGGTGTCTTTTCCTGTTTATATACTGTCAGAACAAGGTCATGCTCATCAGCTGTGTTGATACTTCCTGTGGTTCCCCGCTAATCTACTTTGAGTACATTTCTAAATGGCATGAATACTTGATACAATGATATTCTAATTAATATTGAGTATTGTCCCTGAATGTGTAGGGCTACTTTTCATGTTTTCAGGCAAAAGTTAAAGACACAAATACCTCACTGCACCTTCATAATCCTACTTCTTAATTCCCTTTTGTGACAGGGGCAGGGTAACACTAAAAAGACTCTACTCAGTTCAATGAAGAAGGGCATCCTCTTCTGCATTCTCTGTGTTGTACTGCTGTGTCTTTTCACTAAATGGCCGAGTGAATTAAAGACTCTGGCAGCCAAACATCCCAGCACCTTCTTTTGCAGCAGCAGCAGCAGCAGCAGCAGCAGCAGAAATGTGACCACCATCTTGCTGTGGTACTGGCCCTTCAGGAAATCATACAGCCTGCAGGGTGATGTGTGCTGGGACCTTTACCGCATCCCTTACTGTAGACTAGTGGACCAGCACTCTTTCTTTTCCTCAGCTGATGTGGTGGTCTTCCACAACAGAGAGCTGCTTGAGGGCCACCAGAAGCTGCCCTTAGACCTCCCACGACCGCAGCACCAGAGGTGGGCCTGGATGTCCCTGGAGTCCCCTCTGCACAACGGAAACTTGCGGAAGTATGCGGGTATCTTCAACATCACCATAACCTACAGGAGGGATGCTGATGTCAGTTTACCCTATGGCGAGCTGATACCAAAGGAGGCGGAAGAACTTGTGGGGGAAGATGCCGCTCTGAATAAGAGCTCTCTGGTCTGTTGGGTGGTCAGCAATTACTTGACGCATCACAAGAGAAGCGAAGTGTACCATGAGCTCAAAGCCGTAGTCCCTGTGAAGGTTTACGGGCATTGGACAAAGGCACACCTCACCTCTGGAGCCCTCTTACCTACAATCTCTCGCTGCTACTTCTATTTGGCTTTTGAGAACTCGATCGCGAAAGATTATATCACCGAGAAGCTATGGAGGAATGCTTATCTGGGTGGGGCAGTTCCTGTTGTCCTGGGACCGTCGTTGAATGATTACAAAACTGTAGCTCCGCCTCATTCTTTCATTCATGTTGATGAGTTTGCATCAGTGAAAGATTTAGGAAAGTATCTACAGCAGCTGGCAGAGGACAGGAAACGCTACAGTGAATATTTTACGTGGAAACAACAGTGGAAAGTGAAACTTTACACAGACTGGAGAGAGAGACTGTGTAAGATCTGCTCACAGTATAACAGTTTCCCTCAGCAGAAATATTACACTGACCTAGAGGCCTGGGTTAAAGCTAACATTTGAGCTTGAACTATTGTGGTTGATCAGTAATTGACAAATTGTGAATTTAACCACATTTTTTGGCACATTTGCAGACATGACGTCCTTGTTTTGCTGCACTAGCACAACCTTATTTTTCATGACTAGTAATACATTTTTTATGTTGTTACTGTGCCGGTAAAATAAATATGCAATCAGTATTTATCAGATGAACAGAAAAAGGATGAAAAGATTGTAAAAAAAAAAAAAAAAAAAATTAGGGGGAAGGCAATATTTACTGGAGAAAATGAATTACATCCTCTAGACTCATGAAACCATCCCCAATGTTTTTAGACATTTTTCCGATTTATTAAAAACCAAACATTAAAACTCTTATTTTACAAAAGTATTCAGAAGTTGAATCAACTGTTTAGTCACAAGGACAGTCAGTTCAGACTTCTTTTTCTTTTCCATCTCCTCAGTTTTAAAGAGTTTTCTTTTGACATGAAAAACTTACAGCTGCAGCAGAAGAATCCACTTTGTACCAGAGTTAGTACAAAGACAGCAGGCAAGGCTGTTCATAGTGACTTTGTTAATTTAAAGTGTTTGGCGGTAGGGACTGAATTCAATATTAAACCTTATTGTAGTTAGCATTGGTTTTCATTATTATGAAAAGAAACACAGATTAACCTTTGCACATATTAAAGACACAGCAAGTTTACACAATGTCACATTTCTTCACAACTACAAAAAAAGGACAGCCCTGAGAGTTTTAACTCAAGCAATGCATGCAGGGAAGTCTGTTGATATTGCTAGCTTTGTTTCTTTCTAAACTTATTTTAATGAGTTGAATGAACTCTCAGCAGTTAGAACAGCTTAGAGCAAAGTTAGAACAGCTCATGTTTATAAGTTCACATAACCAACACAACTATCATGCCTTAACTACTTCATATTAAGAACGTTGACCCAAGTGATGTAGATCCCTAGCACTTTAAACCAAACACCTGACCTCTCAGTTGACAAAAGTGTTGCCAGAAGGGAAATACACTTATTCACATTTTTACTGAGAGTAAGATGAGAAGGTTGATACCACAATAATGTATAAGTATGAGCCTGCAGCCAGCAGCTGGCTAATTTAGCTTATAGATTTTGTTACCTTTGTACAGTGCCAGGCTTTCTTCTGCCTCAGATCCTTATGCTTTTTAAAGCTAAACGGCTGCTGGTTGTAGCTTCACATCTATCATACAGATTTGAGAGTGTTATCAAGTCTCTCGTCTGGCTCTCAGCAAGACCACTAATAAGAGTGTTCCCAAAATGTTAACTATTCCTTTAAATTGCACTCACATAAACACATTCTGTGCATTACCATCCAGGCTTGAACAGATGTTAAGACACACGACAATCCCTGAACTAACTTAATTAATAAGTTGATTAAGTACATCCTTACCCATCATCAACAGAAGAATGCTGAGTGATTCCTGATGGACACATTCCATGTTAAACTCTTATGGACGTCATCTTCCTTGCAATCACAGAATTGCCCCCAGAATATACAAAAAAGGTGACCAATAAAAATACAAATAGTTTGTTCAAAAGGGACAAAGCCTCCAGCTTGAAATTGATCCCATGATTCCTTGCACTGCTTCAATTGCAGTATCTGTGCTGAAAGTAATGAAATAATTACTAACAATAAATGTAAGCTTGTTAGACTTTCATCATGTTTTAGCCCAACTTTAAACGGATGAAACATTTGCTTAATGATTGATATCAAAAAGCTTACATTTGATTTCTTTCATCTGTATTATATGTGTCTTTTAGTATGTCAAAAGACTGTAATTTCATGTTTGGTCAGTTCAACTCAATCTGTTTATTTCATGGCTTTCTCTCCTTCCTAATAAAAACAAGTGAACTAAATCGAATGGCCCAGCGTGTTCAAACAGAAGACATTTTCCAGTTAGACTAATGACTCATTTTGCCAGCATGCTTCATGGAGATCAAAGAAACCATCATTTTAGTTTGTCGTTTGTGGTTTCTGCAGGTGTTAACCATTGATTGTAAATCAACAGTGGCCTGGTGCAATAGTATAGAGGTTCAACAAAGAAGGCTTTACTTTTGGTGGGACGTGCAAAGATTTACTGGGGTGAAAGACAATAATTCAGAAGTTTGCATGCAAATGTCTGAAAGAAAAAAAAAAGTGTTACTTGGTACAGAGATGTGCTTTGAATGAAAACATCTGTGTAGCTAATGTTTCAATAAATTATAATTAAACCATTTACATTCCGCTGAGAAAATGTATTAAAACTAATTGCTAATTGTCGAGTTATGACTGCACTCTTTCAGTCAATATTCAAGTCGGTAATATTAAGGCTTATCATTAATACTGAAGCAACTCTGGTGCTAGCAAGAATTACTCCAATGTGTAAGTGACAACTCTTAATTGGTTCTTGCTAATAATTTCATGGTCACTCAGGGATTCAAAGTCATGTGAGGTATTGTGAAGGAGAATAAGTGACATTTAATGCCTTCATTTCTAAACTTATGGTCATACGAGTAAAAAGCAACTTTTCAAAATACAACTCCAGTGAGGATCGAGTGTTATTTCATCATTAACACAAAAAAACCCCTTTACAATAAAATCAAAATGAGGTATTTGAATACAGTTTGTCAACTTGACAATGGTTGATCTAGTCAGGTCAGACGTTTCTCTCATTGCCATTCACCTGAGACATTTAGAGAAAATATTGACATTGTGCAAATGGAAGCCATAGCAGCTAAAACATTTGTGAGTAACAAGACATTTGTCACAATTCTTCAAAATATTATGTTGAATCTCACCCCACCCCCATTGCTGCTAAAATATTTGCTCAAGATGGCAATGACAACCCAACAACTATAGGAGAAAATCTGGTTTTGGTATACACACAGGACATTTTTTTAAAAAGATTATTCAACATAACAAAAGCAACTTGTGCAAAAATCAATGGGAAAAAAAATTCACCCTAATGAGAATTTATATTTTCCATTTCAATGGAAGACAGTTTAGACAAATACTGCAGCTGCTCTTTTCAGATGGGACACAAGTATCGTACAAATGTTGACCCAACTGTCAAAGATGAATTCTGCTTAAAGAGGTATTTCCTCACATGGCGATTCCCTTGTTACCCCAGATCCTTCCTCGTCTGCACCAGAGAAAACATACTCAGGATTTAGCACAAGTGGAAGGAATACCCTGGTTCTTTAACCCTGATCATATTTACACCATCATTCCACAGCTGGACTATATATTGTAGCACCAAATCCTACTTTGTTTGAAAACTGTGAATGATTAAAGCCTATGGAATAACTTACTATGAATAATCCAAGAACACAAAATCACAAAGGCACATTTAACATTCCATTCAAAGCAGTTGCTGGTGTGGAGTTTCAGGTTGTGGTTGGAGAATGTGGCCCGTGGCAATATGTTAAGTTTCCGCATAAGAACAGGAACAAGAAGCTAATTTGATTCGTCTCGTTGCTGCAGTCGAGAAAAGCCTCCCGCCTTAAAGTTTCTTTATCCCGAGGTCCACCGATATTATCGGCCAATCGGGTAGTTGGATTCAGAGGCTTGTCTGCAGCTAGAGTTGGGGTTGGACAGAGAGGCTTGAGAATGAAATCTATGGATTTGGCAGGGAGTGCCTGAGCACGTTTATCCAGTCAGGTGACCAACAAGTCCGGGGTGAAGGGCTTGTTTCAGGACGTCGGGCCGATGAAGTGGGGGCATGTACAGTGTGGGAGGAGGGGCTCCAGGATAGCTGGTAGAAGGGTAGCTCTGACTGGGAATGGGGGAGGGAGCCATGTTCAGTGGGGAAGGGCTCTGCTCGTAATACTGGCCATCGCACTCCTCATCCAGTGGCAAAGCCAGGCGCTTCCCTTTCTGTCTTCGGTTGCAGAACCAAACACGTACCACCTGGCGAGAACAGCATGTCATTTCAAACAGAGACCAAGTAGACACATATTCTTCAGAAGGCGAACTGCTTCATTTTTGTACTTACATCCCTCTCCAGGCCCAGGTCATCTGAGATGTGTGTGATCTCCTGGGTGTTGGGTTTGGGACATTTGATAAAGTAAGACTCCAGAGCAGAGCGCACTGCTCCCTCCAGACTGGTCCTCCTCTTCCTCTTCCTGGTGTCAACAAATACTCTCTCAATCTTGTACATCTGTGGAATCAAAAATTAGTGTGTTAGTGTTAAATACACCATTTCTTATTAGAATGTGTATGCCGTACAATACAGTATGGTAAGCACTAACAGGACTTGTGTACTGAACAGATTGTTGTCCATTTTTGTGCAAGTCATGTAAGGGTCAAATAAGGTTTAATGTGGTGATGAAAAGGCTAAATTACAGCCAATAGGTGGCATATTACACTTCACACGAGCAGAGCGCTTTGGTTCAGGTTAGCTCAGCAGGAAGTTAGCTCAGCCTGAAAAGACCAACTGATCCCATGAGCCTTGGTGATCATCTGTTGTCTTGTAAAGTAGCTGGCAGATGTCAGGGTTGCAGACTTACATCCTGGGGATTCTCTGAGGTCTCTGCCTCATTCAGCCATCTCTGAAGAAGGGGTTTCAGCTTGCACATGTTCTTGAAACTGAGCTGCAGAGCCTCAAAGCGGCAAATGGTCGTCTGGCTGAACATCTTACCTATGCAAAGAAAACATCAGATATCCCATGCGATAAACTCAGAATTGTTAAGTTATGCAATGTTTGTCTACACCGGAGTCCCAATCTGTTGGGACAGTTTATGCAACACTGATCCATATCAGAAGCCATTTTTCTTTCAGGTCACCAGCCCAATTAAAAGCTTAACTGTATCAATATACAAACCAAAAAATGTCCATGGACTTCCAAGCAGTTTTTAGAGTACCTCATAGATAACAGCATCTCAGCATTTTTTGTTTTGGCTGAACATAACTTACCATAAAGGTTACCAAGGGCCAGGCCAACATCAGCTTGTGTGAAACCTAAAGTAATGCGCTTGTGTTTCAGTTCCTTGGCAAACTGTTCCAGTTCCTCAGTGGAGAGGTTCTCCTGCGTGACAGGGAAATCAAAAACATGAAATTGTGAACTTGAACACATTTAGGCCTAGATGACATAGCTTATTCCCTACAAACTCAATTGCTTCTTACCTAAGGAAACAATTTTAAAACTCATACATTGAAGACATGATGTAGTGACTGTTCTTACCTCCTCGGAGTCGCTGCACCCTCCACTGGAGGACCCGCTGCTCCGCGTGGAGGAGGCCGGGTTCTGCGCCTGGGGCCCGGGGGCAGCTTGGGTTGTGTTCACGCTGAAAAACGCGTTTCCTGGAAGCCCGTTGCTCGGGGGTGAAGGGGACATAGATGGGGACGATGCGGAGGATGTTGAGGGATTTTGATTACTGTTACCGGGCGGGGTAATATGGGCGATCCCCGGCCAGAAGGACGGGTTCCAGGCCGCAGGGTAGAAGACTCCATGGGGCATGGCGGCGGAGGCAGGCGGTGTCGGATACTGCTGACCCTTCATCTCCGTTGAGAAGTCATCGCCAGTGTCCTTCTCAGTCTTTATCTCGGGCAGTTTGATTTGCTCCCGGGTCTCAGCTATGGGGGGACTCAGGTTTGTAGGCTGGGTAGCTGCAGTTACGCCGGGTACCTGGCCGGTGTACTCTGGCGCAGCAAAGGGATACCAGTGCTTGGGTTGCCCAAACTCTCCAGCCTGTAGGTCGGTTCCCCTGTAGTCACTGGCCACGGATGGGAAAGGGAAAAATGTCTGCGCAGTGGCCGGTGTGATGCCACTGTAAGCGGTTTTGTTGTAGAGAAGACTCGGGTCTGGCAGAACGCCGTGAGGAAGCTGGAATGACGCAGCGCTGCCCAAACCATCTTGACCCAAAACCTGGGAGCACGGGTTGACCCGGCTGAAGTCATAAGGCCTGCTTTGGCACTCAGGACTCTGCGACCTTTCAGACATCTTCCGAGCGGTGTGAGAGGCTGATAACAAACACGCGTCCCGAAATTTAAAAAAAAAAAAAAAAAAGAAAAAAAAAAAGATTATTGGTGATTGATTTTAAACGTGTTCATCCGTTTCAAGTTTTCGAACAAACCCAAAACAAAAGAGATACCAGAGGGTGATGCTCTCCAAAGACAAACCAGCGCCTGTCCGAGTAAAGTCCGTTTTGGATGAAGAGTTTGTGCAAAAAATGTAAAGGCCTAAGCAGTTACCGTTTTGGTGCAACATAACCACCAATACGCCTACGGCCTACTCCATGAAGTCCCGTCTTTCACACCACCGCCACTCACCTCACCTTCAAGCTCAAATGCTCCTCTCCTGGCAATGCCCCACACATTTTCCTAATCACAGCTGCGGGTGTTGGAGAGCGCCCTATCTCGTCACCCATTGGCTGGCGCAGACAATTGCGCACAGCTGATGGTGAGTTTGTGAATGACCTTGATTCCTCCCAAAGTAGTGGGCGTGTTTTCACATAAAGTTTGAGCCTTTTACAGATCCACTGTGTTTTCTGCTTTTAAAGTGAAATTAAAGCTACTAAGTGAAATTAAACATTGCTCAGGACAACATTAATAATTCAACAGTTTTAAGTCACATTAAAACGCATATTTACATTGCTAAGTAGGCACGGGTCACACAGCTGCTGTAAATACATACTGTAACTTGCTCGCCTCATACATGAATCATAATGCTGGGTTTGTTTAAATCATTCGTCTTTAAGGAGATGGCTTTGATATTAAAATCCCTGTCACCGATTTCGGCTTAATTTTTACATTTAAAATAAATAAAATGGAGTTGATAACTGTGATAGAACAAATTAACTTGACTAATCGGGTCAGGTTTAATTTGAAACAACAACAATGTCAATTTGGAGTTTTAAGAATATTTTACATCTCATGAATTAGGCAACACATGAAAAAAGAAAAAAAAAAGATTTTTAATGTCTGAATGAAATGTAGGCTAGGTGTAGGACTATTTAGAAATCATGTACTACACAGGGAGACATTTACACCCATGAAAGATGGTGGCAGATAAGCTGACATGACATTTTTTGTATTTGAGTCATTTAGTTTATTTTACATCAGATAAAGCAGGGTTTTTCCACGTTTAACAAGTTAAGCAAGATTTAAGTCTTAACACTGCTTTGTCAAGATGAATATTTGTACAGAATGGATCCATGGTTCCACTAAAACCTGCCACTGTCAGGATGTGTTTAGGCTGAATTTGGACATATTGATTTTAATTTAGGTTTATTTATTTATTTGTTTGATTTTATTCTAGATTTCTTGCCATACAATAAATGAAAAAAACCTGACAGTTAAATCATAAAACCACCAACAGCATTCAGGTGAACTTCTCCCATTCACCCTTGATCGGTGGCCATTCAAAAGCCTGGATGGTCGATTCACCGGTACAGATGCGCTCCCCCAGCGCGAGTCGTTGGCCGCAGATTGCGGCAGGAAGACGCACTGCGGGGAGGGAGAGGGGGTGCCATTGTACGACGTGGCCCCGGGGCACCCCGTGGATTTCAGATCCCGAGTTGCGATGGTCGACCATTAGCTCCTTTTCAGATTGAAACAATAAGTCTCAACCCTTTGATTCCGCCCCACACCCACCTCCTCCCCCCGTCGCCTCCCTCCTGTCCTCTGAAACAAACACCAGACACAGGTTTCACTCTGGTCTGCAGGTCCGGGGGTTCACTGAGGGCGAATACCTTGGTATCCAATCTGAAATGCCCTTAAGGTCCAAAACAGGTCTGAGGACCATGGTGTTGTCTGCAGGTGCAAGAATCAAGCTGTGTAGGAAAATCTTCTGCATGGGTGGTATCCAGCTTGAAATGAAGGAGCATGATATTCATTCCTTTTTGTAGCTCTCTAAATTATTTTTGCTTCCTGGCCTCTTATAATGGAGTGGTGCCTGACTGGTGGACAATTAGATTAAATAATGGATTTCACTTCTGCACATTGTGCTGTTTAATTACTCACAAGAGGGGGTTTAGAGGCATAAACTGGATATAAATGTAAGAAGTGGAATGGAAAAACCAGAAAATATGACAATGAAGATGTCTGGTAGAAATATATAATTCTTTTACACCTCCAGTTGATCTCATGGTCTCCTTCCCAGACTGAGAACCACCATTGTACTGAATTTCTTCTTCTGAACCTTAAAAATCATCTCACCATTTACTATAAGCAGCAGATCAGTACGCTCGCTGCTATCACAGATATAAAGCCACGTAAATCCAGGATGAGGAAACCTTGGGGAGACCACAAGAGCTTGGTCAATAGCTTAAAAGACATCAAACCCCAGCTATACAAGCATTGTCCTGGGCCATGGACTTGGGAGTATAATTGTCATGCAAAAGACAGACAGCAAGAGAGATGGTAGACTTTAGGTAGGGCTTCAGAGAGAAAGGGACAGCAGAGCTCAGCGCTCTCAGGGTGTCCAAAGGAGGGAGGGAGTGGGGGGGGGGGGGGGGGGTGGGGGGGGGGGGGGGGGCAGTGTTGAATAGCTTGATACAGTGAGGAGGAGATGTGTGAGGGGAGTATCTAGGGATTTAGTTGACCACCCCCCCAGATGCCTCAGATCTTTCTTGTGGGGAAGATGCCGCTGAATAAGAGCTCTCTGGTCTGTTGGGTGGTCAGCAATTACTTGACGCCATCACAAGAGAAGCGAAGTGTACCATGAGCTCAAAGCCGTAGTCCCTGTGAAGTTTACGGGGATTGGACAAAAGGCACACCTCACCTCTGGAGCCCCTCTTACCTACAATCTCTCGCTGCTACTTCTATTTGGCTTTTGAGAACTCGATCGCGAAAGATTATATCACAGAAGCTATGGAGGAATGGCTTATCTGGTGGGGCAGTTCCTGTTGTCCTGGGACCGTCGTTATGATTACAAAACTGTAGCTCCGCCTCATTCTTTCATTCATGTTGATGAGTTTGCATCAGTGAAAGATTTAGGAAAGTATCTACAGCAGCTGCAGAGGACAGGAAACGCTACAGTGAATATTTTACGTGGAAACAACAGTGGAAAGTGAAACTTTACACAGACTGGAGAGAGAGACTGTGTAAGATCGCTCACAGTATAACAGTTTCCCTCAGCAGAAATATTACACTGACCTAGAGGCCTGGGTTAAAGCTAACATTTGAGCTTGAACTATTGTGGTTATCAGTAATTGACAAATTGTGAAATTTAACCACATTTTTTGGCACATTGCAGGACATGACGTCCTTGTTTTGTGCACTAGCACAACCTTTTTTTCATGACTAGTAATACATTTTTTATGTTGTTACTGTGCCGGTAAAATAATATGCAATCAGTATATTCAGATGAACAGAAAAAGGATGAAAAGATTGTAAAAAAAAAAAAAAAAAAATAGGGGGAAGGCAATATTACTGGAGAAAATGAATACATCCTCTAGACTCATGAAACCATCCCCAATGTTTTTAGACATTTTTCCGATTTATTAAAAACCAAACATTAAAACTCTTATTTTACAAAAAGTATTCAGAGTTGAATCAACTGTTTAGTCACAAGGACAGTTAGTTCAGACTTCTTTTTCTTTTCCATCTCCTCAGTTTTAAAGAGTTTTTCTTTGACATGAAAAACTTACAGCTGCAGCAGAAGAATCACTTTGTACCAGAGTTAGTACAAAGACAGCAGGCAAGGCTGTTCATAGTGACTTTGTTAATTTAAAGTGTTGCGCGGTTAGGGACTGAAATCAATATTAAAACCTTATTGTAGTTAGCATTGGTTTTCATTATTATGAAAAGAACACAGATTAACCTTTGCACATATTAAAGACACAGCAAGTTTACACAATGTCACATTTCTTCACAACTACAAAAAAGGACAGGCCTGAGAGTTTTAACTCAAGCAATGCATGCAGGAAGTCTGTTGATATTGCTAGCTTTGTTTCTTTCTAAACTTATTTTAATGATTGAATGAACTCTCAGCAGTTAGAACAGCTTAGAGCAAAGTTAGAACAGCTATGTTTATAAGTCACATAACCAACACAACATCATGCCTTAACTACTTCATATTAAGAACGTTGACCCAAGTATGTAGATCCCTAGCACTTTAAAACCAAACACCTGACCTCTCAGTTGACAAAAGTGTTGCCAGAAGGGAAATACACTTATTCACATTTTTTACTGAGAGTAAGATGAAGAAGGTTGATACCACAATAATGTAAAGTATGAGCCTGCAGCCAGCAGCTGGCTAATTTAGCTTATAGTTTTGTTACCTTTGTACAGTGCCAGGCTTTCTTCTGCCTAGATCCTTATGCTTTTTAAAGCTAAACGCTGCTGGTTGTAGCTTCACATCTATCATACAGATTTGAGAGTTTTATCAAGTCTCTCGTCTGGCTCTCAGCAAGACCACTAATAAAGAGTGTTCCCAAAATGTTAACTATTCCTTTAAATTGCACTCAAATAAACACATTTCTGTGCTTACCATCCAGGCTTGAACAGATGTTAAGACACACGACAATCCCTGAACTAACTTAATTAATAAGTTGATTAAGTTACATCCTTACCCATCATCAAACAGAAGAATCTGAGTGATTCCTGATGGACACATTCCATGTTAAACCTTATGACGTCATCTTCCTTGCAATCACAGAATTGCCCCCAGAATATACAAAAAAGGTGACCAATAAAATACAAATAGTTTGTTCAAAAGGACAAAGCCTCAGCTTGAAATTGATCCATGATTCCTTGCACTGCTTCAATTGCAGTATCTGTGCTGAAAGTAATGAAATAATTACTAACAATAAATGTAAGCTGTTAGACTTTCATCATGTTTTAGCCAACTTTAAACGGATGAAACATTTGCTTATATGATTGATATCAAAAAGCTTACATTTGATTTCTTTCATCTGTATTATATGTGTCTTTTAGTATGTCAAAAGACTGTAATTTCATGTTTGGTCAGTTCAACTCAATCTGTTTATTTCATGGCTTTCTCTCCTTCCTAATAAAACAAGTGAACTAA